ACACACACACACACACACACACACACACACACACACACACACACACACCCACAGGGGCCGACACCACCACCACCACCACCACCACGACGCAATCACACACACCTGTTGAACCAGGCGTCGTATTTGCCTGGCTCACGGGAATTGATACCACGGAAGGGAAACAGCCAGCACACACCATGTCCATCTGCGTGGGGAATGGAGGTTTGGGTGTCAAGGCTCTTCATCTCGCAGCCCAAGGACATGAGGGACTCGAAATCGTCGCCGTTGCCCATGATGAGCACATCCATGCGCTGGTCCGGCTCGTCGAGCTTCAGCATGCGCCACGCCCTCAGCCACCACTTCACCTGCAGCGTTAGCATGCGACTTGGCTCCATGAAGAAGACGACTGCACGCCTCCCATCAACGCCCTGCGTTCGTTTTGATGCGCGGGAGTGCGCGCGGTGTGTGAGCTTGCGCGTCTTTGATGCAAGTGTGCGCACGGTGGCCAGGAGTGGCTTGATCTGCCTCTCTCTGCGCTCCGCCAGCGCAATGAGCTCCTTGTCCCATTGGCGTGGCAGGATGAGCGACCCGTTCACGTCTGTGCGCAGCATCCACTGGCTGTCCATGTCACCGCACGGCTCCAGCGTGATCTTGGTGTGGTAGTTGTATGTGAGGCAGTTGCCGGTCTCCCGGTGCACGAGGCCCTTGCCGGGCACGAACTGCCACGTGTCGACCGCGTCCTTTGTGGAGAGGGAGCCTTCCTTCATCACCTTCGCGTTGGCGAAGATGGACGTGCACAGCCGGTACACGACCTTGCGTGGCACGCTAGGGTCGATGTGGTCGTCATCCTCGTCTGTGTCAGCCAGGCTGGCGAAGCTGTTTGCAAAGATGCGCTCGTCACTGGCATGGAGGCAGTAGTGGCCGACACCCTGCACCTCGAATCCCACGTGCCCCTCTGAGGATAGCGCGAACACCTGATGCCGTGCTGGATCTGCGCTGTTGCACTCCTGCATGTCGGGTGCAGAGAGGTGGCTGAGGCACAGGTGCGTCAGCGCCGTGTTGTCGGGCACGAGGGAGATGAACAGCGGCGGCTCCGCCAAGCTGCGAAAAGGAGGAAACGCTGCCACTCCACCGGAATACAGCATGCGACGCACGACTTTGTTCGAGTGAGCTATGGCTGGATGTTGTGGATTGACCTCTCTCGTGTTGTCGGTCTCCTTGCCGTCGCTGCTGCTGTCGCTGGGTTTGTGCAGACGCGACGCGTCATCATGATGGCTCTTGGCAGGAAGTCGCTGGACATTCGCGTCCGGGTTGCTGTGTGCGTGCAAGCTTCTGCCATCTGTGTTCTTGCCTGCACTCAAGCGCGCTGCTTCCCTCTCCAGTCGTCGGCCACCATGCACCGTGTCAGAGGAGTGCTTTGGCGTTGGCGCGTTGGAGTGAACGGCAAGCGCAACCAGCATGCACGCCAGCACCGCCACCCCAACCAGCAGCAAGCGGCGCGGCCCGTGTGGAAAGCTGATCGCCGTCATCGTCGTTGTTGCTGCTTGTGGTGGCTGCTGCTGCTTGTGATGAAGCAACGGTTATGTTATTGTTATGTTATTACAGTTAATTAATTTTGTTGCTTGCTTGCAAGCATGCACTTTTTGCTGTCGTGGGTGTGTGCGAGTGGGCGGAAGCAAAGTGGCTCTCTGCTGTTGTCACATGTCAATTATGTCTTGTTGTTGTGGGTGGTGTCTGGCTGGTCACATCATCAAGTAAGTGTGTTTGCATGTGAGCAGCGTGTGCATGTGGGCGAGTTTGCTCGCTGTCTCGCCGAATCGTCATGCCACAAAGTTACACATTTCATAGTTGATATCGCGACGACGACTCGCAGTGTGCAAACTCTTCACAGACAGCCACATACAGAGGCAGACACAGACAGACAGAGGCACACAGACAGACAGACACACACACACGCACGTACAGGCATGCACAGCATCAATCACACAACAGCCACCATCAACCACACACACACACACACACACACACACACACACACACACACACACACACACACACACACACACACACGCATACACACACGCACGCACGCATGCACAATCAACCACACAAGAGACTGGGGTCTCCCGCGGTCGTTAGAGCAACGTCGCCGTTCATGCCTTGGTTGTTCGCAGTGAGTGCAAAGTACGTGATAAAGTCGCGTGTCACATGCAGGTCCAGGTTGGACATGTCAAAGTCCTTGTACGCGCCGTCGTGCAGAGCTAGCTTGGAGAAGCGCTCGCGGTTGTGGTACACGTGCAGCATCTTCACGGCGCAGATGTCAAACTTCATGTCCGTGCGCACGTCAAACTGGGCATCGCGCAACAGGTGCACTGGAAACCCGCTGCCAACCATGTGGTTTGCCGCAATCTGCTGCGAGTACAGCAGTGACACGCCAAGCCACAGGCCTGAGCCCCACTCGCAGTCGATGTCTGCCGGCCGCAGCTTGGGCGGCAGCATGCACCCCGTGCCGGGCGCAAACGTGTACTTGCGCAGCAGCTCCCCGACGGCGATGGTCAGCTCCACCAGATGCAGCACGCTCTGCGTCGGCCCGTAGAACGTCGACCCAATGTTGCGAAGATCCTGCCACAAAAATCCCACAAGGCCTGCAAGTGTGGCCAGCTTGGCGTCCGCATACCGCGTTGCGTAGCCAGCATTGAGGCTGAGCACCAGCTTTTCGGACCAATACCCACGCATCTTGGGTGTGGGCAGCGTGTCGGCGTCTGCGCGCAAGAGCTGGTCGTACTGCTCCAGCAGCGGCCGCGTCCTCTCGTTTACCAACACCTCCAAGCTGCACAAGCATGGTACGGAATGGAGAGGAAGCAAGCGAGAAGGATTAGCAACAGCGAATTGGTTGCAGTGTCGTGTCCGGTGAGGTGCTGGAAGAACATCATGCACACACAGCACACACACACACACACACACACACACACACACACACACACACACACACACACACACACACACACACACACACTCTCTCTCTCTCTCTCTCTCTCTCTCTCTCTCTCTCTCTCTCTCTCTCTCTCTCTCTCTCTCTCTCTCTCTCTCTCTCTCTCTCTCTCTCTCTCTCTCTGTCTCTCTCTCTCTCTCTGTGTGTCTCTCTCTCTCTCTGTCTCTCTCTCTCTCTCTCTCTCTCTCTCTCTCTCTCTCTCTCTCTCTCTCTCTCTCTCTCTCTCTCTCTCTCTCTCTCTCTCTCTCTCTCTCTCTCTCTCTCTCTCTCTCTCTCTCTCTCTCTCTCTCTCTGGCTCTCTCACTCAAACACACACACACACACAGAGGGAGACAGTGTGTGTGTGTCACACACACATATGCAAAACCTTGACTCGTTCGTGCGCACCTGTTGAACCAGCGATCATGCTTCCCAGGCTCGCGGGTGTTGATGCCTTGGAAAGGGAACAGCCAGCACACACCGTGTGCATCCGAGGCTGGGATCGTCGTTTGCGTGCCAAGCCGCTTCATCTCACAGCCAAGCGACTGGAGTGACTCAAAGTCATCGCCATTGCCCATGATGAGCACATCCATGCGCTGATCTGCCTCGTCAAGTCTCAGTTCATGCCACGCCTTGAGCCACCACCGCACCTGCATCGCAAGCATGGCGTTTGGCTCCATGAAGAAGACGACGGCACGCCGCCCACCGACACCCTGTGGTCCTTTTGCCGCACGCGACAGGGCACGGTGCATCAGCTTTGGTGTCTTCCTTGCCACGTGTCGCACGTGGTCGATGAGCGGCTTGACCTGTCTGTCTCTGCGCTCTGCCAGCGCCGCCAGCTCGCTGTCCCAGTCGCGAGGGATGGGGCGGGTCTCGTTGTTGAAGTCCGTGCGCAGCATCCACTGGCTGCCCCGGTCCCCACACGGCTCCAGCGTGATCTGCGACGGGTAGTGGTAGGTGAGGCAGCCGCCAGTGCGGTCGTGAACGAGGCCCGTGCCCGGCACAAACTGCCAGGTGTCGACGGTATCTTTAGCAGCCAGGGACGTTCCCTTGGTCGCTTCTAAGTTGGAGTGGATGGCTGTGCACAACCGATACGCAGGGTGGGTCCCCTCCTATTAATCATCAGGGCTGATGTCATCTGCACCCTCGTCCGCATCACCAAGCTTGTCGTTGTTGCCACGCTCGAGCTCGTTGCTGGCTTGGAGACAGTAGTGGCCGACCCCCTTCACCTCAAACCCAATGTGCCCATCTGATGACAGCAAGAAGAGTTGGTGGCGCGCGGCCTGTCCTGTGCTGCTGCACTCCTGCAAGTCTGAGTCTCCGAGATGGCTCAGGCACAGGTGCATCAGCGCTGTGTTGTCAGGCACGAGGGAGATGAAGAACGGTGGCTCAGCCAGCTTGTGGAACGGAGGGAAAGAGGCGATGCTGCCCGAGTACAACAGGCTGTGGATGGCGCTGTTCTCCACAACCGTCGGCTGTCGGTTCAAGTCGGCCACGCTGTGTTCGTTGGGTGCGGCTGTGGCGTTGGGCTTCAGGTGCACTGGCTTGACGTGGTCGTTTGTCAACACATGCAAGCGGTTTGCAGTGTCTCCACTCGAAAGCTGTCGGCCACCATGCGCTGTGGCAGCGCTGTGCTTCGTTGTGGTGCTGAAGCGAATCACAAGCACAGCCAGCATGCACCCCAACACCAGCACTCCCGCCAGTGCCAGCTTGCGCGTCGTGCGATGATGAAGCAATGCGGGGAAAATAAATGAACGCGCGATTCGTTGCGAACAAACTGGCAGTGTGACACAGGTTTGCTTGCAGGCATTTCATTTATTGAGAGTGCTTGTGGGTGGGTGCATAGTGTGCTCGGTCCTTCTTGCTCCCCCACCACCAAAGTGGCGGCATCACATCACATGGAAAGCGTCTCCCTCTCTCTCTCTCTCGTCGTGTACTACTGTCTGCGGTGTAACCCAGTCAGCAAGGTAACCAGCCATGCCATGCGATGAATGCAGCCACACGTGTCATCATGAACCATTTTGTGTCACACGAGCGCCGTCACTGAGTCCTTCAACCCACCCAGCCAATCCCAACTCGCATTCAACTCAGACTCAGCCGGCTCTCCATTCACATCTCCCTCCCACGCCTATTCGTATGACCATCGCGACGACTTTCGCTTTTGCGCAATCCTGGACAGAACGTCCACCGGCACCAGCATCCGTGCGCACCGCCGCTCGCTCCCAGATCCGCTGTTCGAAGAGAGAGTGTGTGTGCGTGTGTATGAACGTGAGTGAGTGAGTGTGTGTGTGTGTGTGTGTGTGTGTGTGTGAGTGAGTGAGTGAGAGAGAGAGAGAGAGAGAGTGTGTGTGTGTGTGTGAGTGTGTGTGTGTGTACATGCATGCGTGTGTGCATGTATGCGTGTGTGTGCAAAAGCAATCAACCCCCCCCCCTACACACACCACACACACACACACATACAATGCATCACACACACACACACATATTCAAGCCAGGCCACCCTCACGAGGCGGTACAAGGAACACGCCAACAAACAGGAACATGTCATCGGGAAATAGTTCTTACTTCTCCGCCAATTCCGCGATTTCTGCCTCCATCATGTGCAACAGCGGCTCGCACGTGTCCAAGACGTGTTGCAGATGCGCTTTCGTCATGTCAATTTCCTCCCGCATCTGCGCTTCCCGTTCCAGCCCGCGCCTGTGCAGGTGATAGAGACGGGGAGGAGAGTGGGAGAGGAGGATGATACATTGCATGAGCATGAACATGAATGAGCATGTGTGTGTGTGTGTGTGTGTTGGAGGGAGGGGAGGGGTTGACGCAAATAACTTGCCCCGATCTTTCCTCCCTGTCGACACACAGTCACACCAACATCAGCATCACCCCTTACCAGAGCGTGGTGTTGAAGTGCTTGTACAGCGCGGCGTCTACGCGATTGACGGCCAGGATTTTGCTGCGCAGTTCGTCCGATATTGCCGTCTGCGGAGGGCCGAACATCACATCCACCGCCGCACCTGCACCAGATGGACAGAGACGGGAGGTAGGTGGGGGGGGGGGGTTTGCGTGTGTGTGTGTGTGTGTGTGTGTGTGTGTGTGTGTGTCTGTGTGTGTCTGTGTGTGTGTCTGTGTGTGTCTGTGTCTGTCTGTGTGTGTGTCTGTCTGTGTGTGTGTGTGTCTGTCTGTCTGTGTGTTGACAACATCGCGGACAGGTCGCTCAACACACCGCCACATGCCTGGATACGCGCGCGCTCAGCCTGCAATGAACCCCAAGCCGACACACACACGCACACACACACACACACACATATGCAAATGTAAAAGGCACCTGCTGGGGCGTTTGGATTGCTTGGGTGTGCGATATATTCCACCTCTCGCTGGCTCCAACACAGCAACCGCCTCAGATACACCTGTGTGTGTGTGTGTGTGTGTGTGTGTGTGTGTGTGTGTGTGTGTGTGTGTGTGTGTGTGTGTGTGTGTGTGTGTGTGTGTGTGTGTGCAGGACAAGGGAATGATGGCATGCCAGCAACATAGAGATGGAGATGCAACACCACGCCAATCTTAAAGTCCTGTCCTGATTTCTCCTTCCATTCCCCGCGCGCACGCGTGAACACATACCAGCGATTCAAACCAGTGTTCGGCAATGAGTCCGAGCGTAAAGCCCCGGGCAACGCTGGTGGCAGCTCGCTGTGCCTGCAAGCAACCAAAACATATCGAGTCGCGTTGAGGTGGTGGCGAAGCGGCGGGTAGCGCAAGTGCGTCTGTCTGTGGTGTGTGCGTGTCTGTCTGTCTGTCTGTGTCTGTCACCTTGCCGATGGGCATGTTCGTGTCGACGTCGCCGGTGTAGCCGAGAGAGCGCGCCATACCTTCGTGTAATCGCAACCGAGCGGCCTGGCGAAGATACGGGAGAGGGAAGGATGTCTCAGATGAGCCAGTGCATAGACGTGTGTGCGTGTGTATAAGTGTGTACAAGTGTCATGTGTACGCCACTTGTGCGTGGGTTTGCTCGTAGGACGGCGTGCATGCAAGCAAAGCAGCATGTGTGTGTGTGTGTGTGTGCGTGTGTGTGTGTGTGTGTGTGTGTGTGTGTGTGTGTGTGTGTGTGTGTGTGCGTGTGTGTCTCAGCAAATACCTCGGGCATGCTGTTCCTAAATGCGTTTGGATCACTCAGGTAGTCCTCCATTGTTGCGCCATCCAGCATCGCGTCCATGCCAAGCTCTGCATGTGCATGTGTGTGTGTGTGTGCGAGGTTCAATGACATGTTGTGTATGCCCCAACGGTTGCCAACAGCAACAACATCGACAACTGTCACCACCACCATCACCACCGTCGCCGCCATCACCATCGACAATTACCGCGCCAGAGGTCGACGAAGCGTGCCGCTGGATCGCGCACGAGTGCAAATGACTTTGGATTCGGAGCCGTGAACTTGGCCGCCGTCGTCATGTTCAGCACTGCGTCCGTCCTGTGTTGCATGCGTTGTGGTGTGTTTGCATGTGTGTGTGAGGGGGGGGGGGGCTTTCATGTGCTGTGTGCCGGTGAACCCCCATCACACACACACACACACACACAAACACACACACACATACACATACACACATACACACACGCAAGCACACACACGCGCACGCACGCAAGCACACACACATACATACACACACACGCACGCAAGCACATCCACGCTCGTCTCACCTGCCAATGAGGACGTTGATTGGCGCCGGGTTGCGTCCCCCACGAGATTTCGGCGTCAGGAACTGCGCTCGCACATCCGTCCGGCTGTTGGGCATGTTACGGTGAGAGTGCAATGGTGAGTGTGCAATGGCGATGACTGGCGTAAGACAACAATGGGTGGCGAAACTTTTTGTTTGTTTGTTTTGAAGACAAGTTGATGATGGTGGTGGCGAGGTGGTGGCGAGTTGGTGGTATTGCCGTACCCTTCGGTGATTGGGGAGCGCGGGATGGAGAGTGCGAGGTCGTGGTGGATGCCCGTGTTGAGGAGCAGATTGGCAACGACGCCGTCGGCCACCCCGCTGCAGCCGCCGGCAGGGAAGAGAGGAGGGGCGGTGGTGACACATTGGCATGGAGAACGCGGACATTTGACGGTGGTGTACCATGTGCAGGAGAGGTGACACGCATCTACGCATATATGCATGCATGCATGCAGGCAGGCACACATGCGCTGTGTACGCAAAACAAGTCAGCACAGCCCCAACAAACGCGCGCACACTCCGCCCCAAACAGGAACACGACACGGGTGGTGCAACTGACTCGATGCGGGCGAGAACGGCCGTCTTGTGGGGATATCCCTGTGTTCTGCACTCGATGTCGATGGGATCACCGCCCTCGCGCCACTTGAAGTGCTTCGAGAACCCCTGCGATTCCAACAGCACCAAGTGGCACATGCGGTCCTGCTCGCCAATGTCCCGCTGCTCGTCGTCGTGGTGGTGGTGGTGGTGGTGATGGTGGTGGTGGTGTGTGTGTGTGTGTGTGTGTGTGTGTGTGTGTGGGTGCGTGTCAGCAATTTAACACATGCACACGAGCACACGACGCCTATTCATCTGCTTGCGTCTGTGACACCAAACACGATGCCACCACCACTGCCTATCACCACCACCACTGCTAATTACCTTCTCTTCAATGCGCGCGCGGTGCAGTCGTCCGTCCATTCGCGCATGTAAACGACAAATCTCAGACATGCGCGCTTTCCGCTCCCTGGCCGTCAGGGCGCACAGCATGGTGTGTGTGTGTGTGTGTGTGAGTGTGAGTGTGCGTGTGTGTGTGAGTGTGTCTGTGTCTGTGTCTGTGTGTGTGTCTGTGTGTCTGTGTGTGTCTGTGTGTGTCTGTGCGTGTGTGGAGAGAGAGAGAGAGAGACGCAGTCGCAGCATTCACAAGGCCGCGCGTACATGCAGGGCGGTTCACAGGCACACATGTTCTCTCACAACACACGCAGATTCAGGAACAACCCGTAACACAAAACAACACGATACAACAACATGAGTGAGACACGGTACAAACAAGAAAGACGGCAGAAGGGCGTGTTTACCGGAAGTATTTCAGTTCGTCGTGGAATCCAGGCTCCTCCTCAATGAGGCGAAACAGCGTTTGGTTGAAGTGATCAAACAACATCTGAGGGCGCATGCAGGAGCACATGACATGAAACGTATGCGGCGTGGTGTGTGTGTGTGTGTGTGTGTGTGTGTGTGTGTGTGTGTGTGTGTGTGTGTGTGTGTGTGTGTGTGTGTGTGTGTGTGTGTGTGCGATTGTGTTCGGGATAATGAGATAGTTGCCTGCCTCCATAAAATAAATAAACTCGATAAAAAATGGCTGCACATGTATGCTTACACACCCCACACGCAGTATACACTCAGACATAATCAT